AATGGTGATCATCTATGTCTTACACACATGGGTGAGGAATGGTCCTATAGGATCATTACTTTAAAAAAACTAATGTAGAAAGACACTAGTGACTTCCTCTCAAACTTCATGCGATAAATCAATCAAACAACTTATAATCTTCATTTGCAAGAAAAGATAAAATCATTATAAATACACAAATGTTATTAATTCTAATTTTCAAAATACAACGAACCATATAAGCTGAATGATAGGTCACGTAAAATAGGTGGCTAGTATGTTATAAGAAATGCACGTTGATTATAGATAACCATCCTATAGAACTAATTTTGTTTTAGACAACTCCAACTGTGTTTTATTTGCATATGTACGAGGTTCAAAATAAAATTTGAAAGCATGGTCCTGAGTTTAAAGAAAGGAAAAGGGCTTACGCTCTGATGGAATAACTCGAACAGATTAACTCACGATCCCCACCGTTTTCCAATCCAATTCAATGATTATTAGGGGTAAGAATTTACCTGGTTTGAATTCAAAACCCGAATTTCGGACCTTATTCGGATTTAGATATGGATCCAACAGATTCAAATGTAAAATTGGATTTAAATAGTAATTGGATCAGAACTGGATACAGGTGGATCTGATGCGGATCTTACTCAATTATTAATTATAGATCTGGTTTCTATGCAATCAAGCCCGCATATGTAGAAAAGCGGGCTTCTTAATAAATCTATTTTTGTGATGGATTTTAAGACTTAATTTTTAAGGACATGTGATCTTTAACATGGAGATCATAATATATGAAAAAATAAATAAATTTTAAAAACTAAAAATGATAATTTTAATAAGAAAATACTTGGATAGTTAGTTTCCATTGTTTTTAGATGGAACACCTACTTGCATCCATCTTTAAGATGGATGCTCTACACTTTCTAGACCGCATATGTAGAAATGCGGTCCAACCCGCATGAAACAATTTTCTTTAATTATATATTATTTTTTATATATACATATATGTTATTTAATATTTTTTGTTTTATATTATTTATAGATATAAAATAATATATAAAATATATTTTTTGGATTTGATCGGGTCTGGATCCAGATCCCATGCATGCTTTTCACTGATCGAGTATGGATCGCATGTATACTTTTTAGATCCCAGTCGATCTAGGATTCGGACCCGATCCGACAGCCCTAACGATTCTCATCTAAAGAGCCATTTTTTCAAGAAATTATTCACTCTAATATATTTGACAAACCTAGAATATTATATATCTTGCTCATCATCCTAGCAAAGTATGAAAAGCTTAGTAATTCTACACGGCCTGTTAGTTATCTTAAACGTAAAATTAGACAGTCGAGATATGCAATTTCTTCATACAAAGTGTGTATTTTTTTTTTTTTTTTTGCACTTGTAGTTCATGGTACAACCCTACCCCCAATTTCATATCTGATGATAATGGATATATCCGAAAATCAGCTCAAGCTGGAATTTGGGCAAAGCCACAAGAAACAGCTTCCAAGCCCAAAATTTTCTGAAATTTCAGGTATTTCATTGATAAATCTCTGAGGTCATTATCTTCATTCTCAAAAAATCGGAGGAAAAAAAGAGGACAATGGCTCTATCAAAATAAGCAAAACCTCAACTCATAACTCATAAAAAATTACAATTCAAGCACCGAAAAATGTTTATGTTGATCATCTCCACTTGAACATTATAGTTGTGAAAAAAATTAGGATTTCAAGCTTTAAAAATAGTGTATATTGTAGTATCTAGACTATCCATTTTTCCCTAAAAATAAACATTCAAAGATTGACAAGATTTGTGCATTTTTTTAATTTTAAAATTATTTATCGGTGTTAAGTATTAATTTTAGAGCCATCATGGAGATTTCCATTGCCCAAAATGTTTTCCAAATAAAAGTTTGACATGAGGCTTTATTTTGTTTGCATAAAACCTAAACCTTATACAAACTTCATCCAAAAAATAAAATAAAAATGTTTTCATAGGTTTGCAGCCCTCTTGACCACTTGAGTTCTCTCTCTCTCAAACGATAAGAATTGGGATTCTTTTAGCTCCAAGCCAATTTTATATGTTTCTTCCTTGTTTAAGTTCTGAAATTTTGTTTCATATGAAACAATATTTCGAATTTGAACAGTCAAATCCTCAAAATAGATCCAAATCTTTGATTGTTTTATCATTTAAACATTTTTTTTGTGTGAATTTAAATTGACTATTTTTTATTTATTTTTGACAAGAACAAAAAGGACAAGATATTAAATTGACTAAGATTAACAAAATTTGTTTAAACAAATTAAACTTTTTAAAAATAAAACCAAACAAACCCAAAATGATGTAAAATTTAATATATGTCCTCTCTCTTCCCAAGGGCATGCATGAGGCTTCAACGATCCTTCTCGTTTGTGGGTTTTATAGAGAGGGTTTGTGAAGCTATAATCTCTGTCTCTATTGTGCCCTCTCTCTCTAAAATTCTTCATGTTTTTGCCTTGTTTCATCAGAAGCCCTGGTTTCTCAAATTGGGAACTGTACAAAATTTGCGTTGTCTAAATAAATGGACGGTGCTAGCAGCCCAATTTCAATAAATAAAACTGTAACCTTATAGAAACTCGCATTTTTGTGTTTTTTTAAGGTTTCAATGGTACTTTCACTTGAAAAATACAAAGGATGGGGCACCGGTATTGTAATGTTTGAACCCAATCACTTGTGTATGGAAATATTGGTTATGCATCCAATATCCGAACTTGTCTTTCACTAACGGCCTGTTTAGCTCATTGGATTTAGATCTCTATGAGTCACTTTTTTTGGAAAAACAGGGCCAATCGTGTTTGGTTTGTTTAGAATTGCGATTTTCATGGGATTCTTAAGCCTAAATTTTGGAAATCTCAATTCCACATTTCATTAAAATGATTCATTCTCCTGGTGAAAAACAAAAAAAATATTAAAATTTTAGAGAGAGAAACTTTATCAAATTTTAAAGAGAGAAAATATATTAACATTTTAGAGAGGAAAACTATATCAAATTTTAAAGAAATAAAGTATATGAAATTTTTTAGAGAGGGAAAATATACAAATTTATTTAGTGAGAGGAACTATCTCAAATTGTTAGAGAGAAACTATTTCAAATCAAGTTTTAGGGATACCATATTAAAATTTTAGAGAGAAAAACTATCTTAAGTATTAAATTTTAGAGAGAGAAAGTACCTTAAAATTTAGAGAGAGAATATTCATTAAATTTTAGAAATAGGAACTACATAAATTTTTTTAAAGAGAAATATCTCAAAACATTTAAAGAGAGAAATTATCTCAAGTTTTGTAAGTTTTAGAGAGAGAATATATTAAAATTTTAAAGATTAGAGACTGTATCAAATTTTAGATAGAAAAACTACCAAAAAAATTTTAGAGAGAGAAAATATCTTACCACTTTGGAGAGGGAAGCTATATCAAATTTTAGATAGAGAAAGTACTTGAAATATTTAGAGAGGGAAACCATTTAAAAAAATTTAGATAGAGAAACTATATTAAATTTTAGGTTTTAGAGAGAGAAAGTATATTAAAATTATAGAGAGATAAACAATCTCAAATTTTAAGTTTTAGATAGAGAAAGTATATTAAAATTTTTGAAAGAGAAAGTATGTTAAAAATTTAGAGAGAAAAGCTACCTAAAAATTTTAGAGAGAGAAACTATATCAAAATATAAGTTTTAGAGAGAGAAAGCATCTTAAAATTTTAGAGAAAGTAACTATATCAAATTTCAGAGTGAGAAAATACCAAAAATTTCTTAGAGAAAAAAATTATTCTTAGAGAAAAAAACTATTTTAAAATTTTTAAAAAGAAACTCTCTCAAAATTTAAGTTTTAGGTAGAGAAAGTACTTAAAATTTTAGAGAGAGAAACTACATCATATTTTAGAGAGAGAAACTACTTGAAACTGTTTAGAAAGAGGAAATATCTGAAATTGTTTAGAAAGAGAAACTATCTCAAAAATTTTATAGAGAGAAACCATATCAAAAATTTTATAGAGAGAAACTATCTCAAATTTTAAGTTTTAGAGAGAAAAAGTATCTCAAAATTATAGAGAGAGATAAACTATACCAAATTTTAGAGAGAGAAAGCATATAAAATTTATAGGGAGATAAACTATCTCAAAAATTTTAGAGAGAAAAGCTATTTCAAATTTTAAGTTTTTGAAAGAGAGTGTATTAAATTTTGAGAGAGGAATTTGCATTTCCAAGAAAAATATATTCCAGACAATCCAAATATGGAATTTGCAATTTTTTGATTTCTATCGCATGCAATCCAAACAGGGAATTGATATTTTCAGGAGATCTCAATTCCAAGATTGACTTTTCTCGAGATTGAAAAATCCAGGGATCCAAATGGGTCCTAAGGGAAAAAAACTTTGAATATATAAAAAATAAAAAAAGACATAGACATACCAAATTAGAGTTTAATCCGACATAGGAAAAAGATAAAATTAAAGTACATTTTATATTTTAAAAAGGCTTATTATAAAATATAAAAAATAAAAAATAAAAACTTATTTTAAAATATAAAAAATAAAGAATTATTCTTAAATATAAAAACACAATAAATTTCTCTAAATTTAAAAGATACAGTTTCGGTAAAGCTTGGGCTTTATGAAAACAAAGTAGGGGCTCACCTACAATCCTAGTTTGGAAAGAACTTTGGGTATAAAAAAAGTCCAAGATGCCTTTAAAATCTATTTTAAGTTTAGAAAGCATTTTGGATATAAAAAATCTGGATGATGTCTCTAAAACCTATTTTGAACACTCACTAATAAATTTTGAAGCTCGAAAAATGCCAGAAATCTGAAACATTAACACTTATTTTTATGGTGAAATGGACTGTCTAGATAGTATATTCATATACGGGTTTGAAATCTTAATATTTTCACAACTATAATAGTAAACGCCCACAACTATAATAGTAAATGTCCGCATGTTTTTTATTTTTTATTTTATTTTTTTGAGGTAATTCGGTAGGGAAGAAAAGCTCTTACCCGTTCCCTAAGACAGATAATCGATTTGAAGATTTTCGAACTTTGGAACTGCAATTTTGAGTTTTGTGGTGAAGGTTTGTTTTACATTAATAGGGCTGCAGCCCTATAAAAACATTTTCCAAATTTAAAAGGGCCAAAATGCTCGATGTTTAGCCATAGATCGTAGCTGCTAACGGTTTGGATGTCCTCATTTTTCGAGCTTTGTATCCCAAATATCAGATCGGGATCGTTAAAAGTCCGAGCACTTCTCAACCCCCCCCTACTTTGATCCATGTAATCTCTCTCTCTCTCCGCATTTTTTTCGGTGATTTTCCCTCTCTGCCTCTCTCTTTCCCTCTTCCTTTTTTCCTCGGATCACCATTGGCGAGTGAGTAAATGACATGTTCGTTCTAGTCTTTGTTTGTTTTGTTTTGTTTTTTCTTTGTGTATTTGGTCTTTCTGGTTTAGATTACATTAAACGAAAGTGAATCTGGGTATGGCTAGCCATCTTACTCTTAAATTTGGACTTGATGATTGTTTCATAGGACTGAATTTTGATGTTATTTTATAGGCTAGTTGTCATTTTGCTCGAAATCACACGAATATGCATCTTTTTGGTTAAAAAAGAATTGGGTTTTGCAATTTCATAAGAAAAGTTGATTTGTGATTTGACAATTTACAGTCTGTGGTGAATTTGCAGAGTCAAAAAACAAAAAATGCTGATAATTTATGGTTAAATTCATTTGACTTTTTTCTGGAATTGCAATAGTAGGCTAAGCTAATGTGGTTAAGAAATGGATGGATTTTTTTGGCCCCAAATTAGGTGTGGTTTCCTTATGTTGTTTATGATGATTAAATCTCTTTCCATGCTATTTGAGTGTATGTAATGTGACTACGAGTTTGCTAGTTTTAATCTCTTTCAAGAAACACATGAATGTTCCGTATTTTTCATTTGACCTCATTTATATTGACGATGGTATTCAAGTTTAACTGTCTAGCAATCCTCATCTCACTACCCCCAAAAAAAACCTCTGTTTTTTTGTCATTTCCCCTTTCATTTTTAGTGGTTTCCATAATGTGGGTAATTTTTTCTTTTGCTATTTGTGAAATGCAATACTCTCCATTCTCTTTAACTAATATTATTGTGCATAGCATTTGGACTCTGAGAAATTTTTGTATTATAAACAAGTAGTCATCAAGCAATAATACCTTGTTTTGTTGAGTAAATGTGTTTTTGGTAGCATTGATCCAAGTTATGAAGCGGTCCATTAGAGTTTACCATCTTGTTTGTTGAGTTTTGTGTCCGTATTCTTTGTTGCATTGAATCCTTCTTCTCCAACTTTGGGTTTTGGTTTGCATAGCTTCCCATAAAAGAAATCAAATTTTGTAAAATGGGTTTTCATTTTAGCTACTCTTTTGCAGGTTTGGTGCCCTGAAAAATCTTGTGCTTGAAGGTAGGGAGCAGTGAGCAGATCAATGGTGGACATTTTCTATTAAACTGAAGAATGGTGCGTATAGTTTATATAATATGGTGGTAATTGTGATCTTTTATGGATCTTGAGGGCATGAAACAAAAATTCTGGTGGCCTCTTTGAATCTGGTGAGTTTGTAGTTCAAGTTGAGACCTTGTATTTTTTTCTGTTTTCTTTTCTTTAGATTGGTCTGTGTTGAACTTAAAATGTGCTACCTATATTACAATATTCTGATGAAGAGTTCCGTGCCACTAGCCCACTAGTCTACAGCACTGTTCTGAAACTCGGACAACGCAAATTGGAATCGGCCGAGTAACTCGGCCGATTCCATATCGCCCAAGGGGCGAGGTGAGTTTTGGCCGAGTAAGTTGTACAACATACTTTTAAAGTTTAAATATATTATTGCCTCAATTTTCTTTTAGATATGGTTGAATGGTTTAGCGGTTTGGGCTCGAGGCTAGGTGGTCAGGGTGGTGGCGTGCCACAACATGACGTCTTGAGTTCTATTCCTACAACAGGGTAGAGGATCCCTTACTTTCTAAACTACCCAAAAAAAAAAACGAAGTCTTAGTATGATTTATATATGAAATTGGTGTCGATGCTGTCAGATGGTTGTCCCTCTTTGGATTGTTTGTTTTAATTTACATTGTTTGATTTGGTTTCTCTACGTGTCTCGTGTCTAGCTAGGATGTCAATTATAATGTCTTTTTGCTTGATCTTTCAAAAACAGAAAAGAGTCTTCTACTTTTGTGCCCATGTTTTGTTAACTTTTATGCATAGTGATCACTTCTCAACAATCATATTAATAGGCTGCTATGAACTGCTTGACATGGTCCTGTGATATATCTGTGGGGGATGATTGGAGTTCATTTCAACTGTGCAGAACTGCAGATACTACAGCTAGCACCATGAATTTTTTGTTGAGGACTGCACAGCCTACAATCTTAGATTCATCAGGTGTTCCAGAGCTTCCTAAAGACACAAGTGCAGCTCCTAAACGACCAAATACACTAGAGGGTCTAATTGCAGAGGATCCATTCCCAACTCCGTCCACAAGCGATGATGGCAATGGGTTTGGTGTTGCTAGTGGTAATGCTGAGGGTTTGAATGAAAAGGCCCATGTTGAGATTGAAAATCATCGTGATGTTACAGAGGAAGAAGGATGGATTACCATACCAAGCAGTATTGCCATTTAACTCATTCTATTACATTTGAGATGAACATTTTTCTTAGTAAATTTTCTGTCATACATAACTTTGGTGTTCTATCTATGCCCTTGCATTATAGATATATTATCCTTTTCTTTAGATGATTTACTTACGATATATTAATTATAATGTTGTATAACGTGTATGCAGGGGAGCTTCCTGAAGATTGGGCTGATGCTCATGAGATATCCTCTTTTCGTTCTTTGCATCGATCATTCATTTTTCCCGGTATCTAGAGTTTTAACATTTGGATTCTTTGCTTCCTACCCCGCCAATTAGCATTTGATGATCACTGAAATGGTTTCCCCGTTTTCTCAGGTGAGCAACTCCATATCCTCGTGTGCTTATCAGCATCTAAACAGGATACAGTGGAGATTGTAACCCCATTTAGGGTAGCTGCTTTGATGAACAAGAATGGGTTATTTGCACCGGGCACTAAGGGCAATGCACCCCATTCAGAGATTGTTAAGGGGGAAGTGAATGGCACACACAAAGAAAATGGTGCTAATCAGAGTTCAGAAGTCAATGGGGAAACTACTTTAGCTACCGAGGAGCACAACAATAAGGAAGAGAATGTTCCTACTGGTGAAACTCTTCTTAAGAGGGAAAGCCATAAGCGGAGGACAGAGATACTGTTGGAGAGATTCAGGAATTCGCATTTCTTTGTGAGGGTTGCGGGGTCAGATGAACCACTTTGGTGCAAAAAAAATATATCAGAATCTTTTTCAGTTGGTTCAGATAGGGTGGGAGAAAAAATTAGTGGAAATGATTCTGGACCTAAAAAGAACCAGAAAAGGGGTAATTTATTGTCCGCAGTTATAGAACGAGGAGATTTTGATCGTAATGCATCAGGTGGAGTTGCCAGGAACACAGTCAAATGTTGTTCGCTCCCTAATGGAGATATAGTGGTAATGCTTTAAGATTTTTTCGTGTCTTTGGAATTGATGATAGTACACATTTGCTGCTTTAAGTTTGCAGCCAGTTAAATTCTGTTCTTGTTGACGGCTGTTTTTATCTTTTATTTATTAATTTTCAATCTTCACAATGCTTGACGCTGTTTATGGTGATATCGTGATAAGAAGTATTACATTAGCATGACTATTTAAAGTGATGATTCTTTTACAAAAGTAATGTCTATTTTTTGACTGGTAAACAACAAAAATGCATTAAGAGATTTTAAAATGAAAATCTGCTCTGCCAACCTGTCAAATATCTAAGCCTCATGTGAATGGTAACCCGCTCTCTTTGAAGTATAGATAGTTGGGGCATGGACTTCATGGAGCACAAAGCTTAGTTTTTTTTTAAGGCCTTTCCAGCTGCATCTCACTCTTGACGCATAATCTGGAAGCTTAAGGTGTTCACAGCCTTTAAAGCTGTTATTTTGTCAACTGATTGAGCTGAATTGGGAGAATCAGAGAGGGTGACATGGAGGACTATTTGGCTTCTTTATCAAACTTAAATTATGCTGTTCATGGTCTCATCCTATGATTCATGGATACATGTGCATGCTTAAACATATGGCTGTCTTGACTGATACCAGATACTCCTAGGATATTTGTAAATATAAGCTGCTGTAATTATAAATCATATAATATGATTAAAATATAATATTATGCATTATTTCATGGAATGCATGCATCACTATGTTGGATCTTGAATATGTATATTATGCAAGCTGTAGTATATAATTGTTAATTTGTGTTTGATTTAGGGAAGTGCCTAAGCCATATCCCCTCTATCCATATTCTTGATCATATCTGTATCCGTATCCGACCATCATGGGCTTCATCTATGTAAACATTGTTTGCATGGAATAAAGCTGTAACCTTTTCCATGGTTCAAAGTCCTGTAATATTCTGTTCTTAGAACCTAAGATTGGCACCTGTACTTCTAGATATTGAGAGTGAAGTATGTGCATCAAGAAAATAGATATGTTTGAAATCTCTCATTCCAACTCTGCATTCTATTGTCGCTGAATAAATGTTGCTTATAAAAAAAGAAAAACATGCTTCCAAATTGCACCTAGTACTGTTTAGCAAGCTTTTCATGCAAGCTAATTTGTAATCTAGGCTACTTACAAAGTAGTTTTTGTTGCAATGCTGTTTCAATATATTTGAGTTTCTTATATTTAGTCCTTAAAAAAATGACCATTTCTTGCAAGCTAATTTGTAATCTAGGCTACTTACAAAGTAGTTTTTGTTGCAATGCTGTTTTAATATATTTTAGTTTCTTATATTCAGTCCTTAAAAAACTTGGTCACTTGTGTAGAGAAACTCTTATTCATTTGCTTCCATTGGAAGAATGCAGGTACTTCTACAAGTGAATATTGGAACTGAAATTGCAGAAGATCCTGTCCTTGAAGTTCTTCAGTTTGAGAAATACCACACAAGCAATGAAACCCATAATAGCGTAGATGAGAGAAATCATGACGATCCATACGGTGAACTCCTCAAGTGGTTACTCCCTTTAGATTGTCCTGTTGTTCCTCCTGTACGACCCTTATCGCCCCCTTCTTTGAGTTCAAATTTACTCGCCGGAAGCCCCTCTCAACGACAGGGTGCTTCCTCATCTGGCTCCCAACTCTTCTCCTTTGGTCATTTCCGAAGTTACTCGATGAATTCACTTCCTCAAGCCACCACGGCACCAGCTCCTGCTCCTCCACCTCCTAACCCTCAACAAAGCTTTGAACTAGAAGACTGGGACCGTTTCTCCCCACAAAAGACTCTTAAAGGTCAAGATGTGGGTAATGAAGGGATTCTATCTTTTCGAGGTGTATCTTTGGAGACACAAAGATTTTCTGTTCACTGTGGACTTGAAGGCCTGTACATACCTGGACGAAGATGGAGACGGAAGCTTGAAATTATTCAGCCTGTAGAGATACAGTCTTTTGTTGCAGATTGCAATACAGAGGATCTCATTTGTGTTCAGATAAAGGTATTGTTACCCTATACCATATATATAGCGGTTTCTTGTGTACTTGCTGTTTCCTGAAATAGAAGCATATGCATCTAAGTTTCATTTGTGTGGTTCTTTGTGGGAAATGTGTCATCCATATCAATCATATAATGCCTTTCAGAATGTTGCTCCAGCACGTACACCGGATATCATTATCTTCGTAGATGCTATAAATATCATCTTTGAAGAGACGTCAACTGGAAGGCCGCCCATAACATTACCAGTTGCATGCATTGAGGCAGGAAATGATCATAGATTGCCAAATCTTGCTCTCAGGTTCATTTGCTCTCTTATTCTTTGTTAATAGATTGACACAGGGCAACAATGGTAACGCCATATTAAATTGATCTGCGAATGCCATGCAATATGAAAATTTTTACCATGAGCACCGTAATTATTACATTACAAGGGTATCTGGTCCCCTGAAAGCCATCGGAGTAACTTCTATTGTTAACTTACTGTTTTTAAGTTTTGGCAGATGCCAAGTGTTGTCCAGGTAATTCCTGCTTTATGCTGCTTGCTCACGCTTGAACAAAATTTATTAGAAAGATGTAGTTATCTTTACCTTAATAATTTTACTTATTTTACATGCCTTTTTTTGCTTTGGCCTTATAAAATAAATCATAGTTGGATTTTTACATTTGCCTTATTGCAGGACAGGGGAGCAACATTCTTTCATTTTGAAACCTGCACCCTTAGTTGGGAAGGATTCCAATGCTCAAGGTGAGAGAACTTCCCGAAAACCATTTCCCCAGGGGACTATCACATCATTACATCGGCGTATGGGTTCTAAGAGTGGTGAAATAAGAAGGGATGTTGCAAATGTGGATCAGTATTCAGTTTTGGTATCATGTCGATGCAGCTGTACAGGTGCATATATATATATATATATATCATTGATCATTGTTCGTGAAATTTGTGTCCTGTTTCTCCTTGTGTTTATGTTCTTTTATTGTTATCATAGATTCCAGACTCTTCTTCAAGCACCCAATAAGTTGGCAACCTCGTGTAGCAAGAGATCTGTTGATTTCAGTAGCATCTGAGATGTCTGAACGAACTCTTGGAACAAGTGGAGCATCTCAACTTCCAGTACAGGTGTTAATACCATCTTATTGAACTTTTCCACTGCTCTCTTTCTCTTTCTCTTTCTCTTTCTCTCTCTCTCTCTCTCTCTCTCTCTCTCTCTCTCATTCACTCACTCACTCACTCATATATATATATAGTATAATACTACAAAACACATATAGGCGAAAATGAACTGTAATTTTGCCTACCCTCATCACCGTCCAAAGTTCATCGCACGATCACGACTGTTCGGTAGTATTTCTTTTTTCATTTTTTTTTCTACAAATTGGAATGATCTAAAATTTGGAGCCTATGTTCATAAAAAATAGGCGAATCTACGAAAAATATCAAAAAAATATTTTACATGAAATAAATTGACCAAAATACTCGTAAAAAGTTTCAAGGGCATTTTGGTCGATGTTGTTACGCAAATTATTATTTTTTATATTTTTATTAGGTGCGCCTCACTAAGATGTACATACGCTTCAAATTTTTTATCATTCCGATTTGTAAAAAAAAATAAAAAATAAAACACTACTGGACAATCGTGATCGTGCATTGAACTTTGGATGGTGATGAGGGTAGGCGAAATTACTGTTCATTTTCGCCTATAGGCGTAGGGAAAACTTTTTCATATATATATATATATGAAAAAAATTGGGGTTAGCCCACTAGCTCATATGTTCATATGAGCTAGTAGGCTGACCTCAGCTTTTTTCATATAGGAAAATGTTGAGATTAGCCCATATGAACATATGAACCCAACGGCCCAGATTGAATCTGGGCCGATCTGATGACCACAACTTCATTTCGTGTTTGAATTTTAATTTTTTTTTCTACAAATCCAAATAACTTGAAATTTTAGGCGTCCATTCTTTTCATCAAAGCGCACTTAATAAAAATATTTTT